GTTTGATATGTTTTGTATGAAAATAAATGCTTATTTGCTATGATTGATTTATGAGAACATTCACTTATATTGTTATCTGATAAAAACATGATAACTGATAAGAGTCTGATTGGAAGTGGTTTCCTGCAGTTTGAAGATTGTGTAGAGGCATTTGTTCACCTGATACTGTCGATATTGGTGTATATTAGACTTTTCATTTTTTTTTTGATAGTCGAGAGCCGTGCAAAGTTAGTTGTTCAAATAGTGTGAGTTCACGGACGCACGCTAGCCACGCCCTTAGGAGGCCAAATATGTAAAAATTTAAATATTTGTAATTTCAGTAATTTATGTAAAAATGACTTTTAAAACATTTAAGGTTGATTGTACATGCTAAAAAAGGTGAATTCTGTGTTATTTTTATGTGAAAATTCCTGTGTATAAGTGAAATAATGATAGTTTTGTACAAGAAATTTAAAAGTGTTTTAATAGTGAAATGAATAGAGAAAATGTAAATTTAACTGTTGTATTGGTTAACTTATGTATAATTTCAAGTGGAAAACATTGTTTTAATATTCTATGTTAAATATTTAAGAAATTTCAACTTCGAACGTGTGAGTAAAATAGACATATTTTGTTAAATAAATAAAAGGTTTTTTTGTGATATGAAAATGTAATGTATATCGTAGTGTAGATATTGTTTTGTGCTATCTATACAGGTAAATTATGTTGATGTATGACTTATGCAAATAAAGTAATTAAGTAAAACGTGAGATAGTAATAGAACAAATTCATGTAATTGAGTTGCGCAAGCGCGCGAATGGCACGGTTCACTTTCGCGTATTGCTCTGGGGTAGCTCAGTAAATGAGTTTTATTGCAATTCGTTCGGGAATCGTTCGGGAATCCTTCGGGACAAAAGTTCGGGAATCTTTCGGGAAATGTTCGAGAAATAAGTACGAAAATCCTTCGGGAAAAGTGCAAGACCAGCAACCAATAAGAAGAAAGAAAAAGTGTAGGGAAGTGATAGGGAAAAGTAATTACTCTCTCACGGAACGGTTTGAAGATAATTGCTGTTTTATTCCCAAGAAATTCATCCCTCAAAATTATACAGTCCACATCGAAGAATTAAGGCGTTGGGACCGGGACGACTTCGGAAGACCCGTAATCTCCGTCTGAACCTATTTGCTGAAAAGGAAGAGGTTATCGCCCTTGTGTGTTACTCTGTTGCGGAGATCACATACGTTGTTCCCGAACCCAACGTAGGCGTTATAGGAGGCCGGATCGAGAGAAGCCTCGATTCCTCCCTTCTGTTTCTTAGTTGAACGTTTACACACCTTTTGATTTCTTTTCGGTGAGTGATGTACACGCCATTGATGTTAGTACTGTATCCTTTCCAGTCCAGTAGCTTGAAAACGTCTTCCAACGCAGCGGTGAAGAGTTTCGGTGATATAACATCACCCTATCTTACACCTCTCTGCAGTTGGATAGGTTTCGAACTCTGGTTCCGTACTCGGATAGCCATCGTAGCCCTACTGTACAAACACTTCAGCACTTCGATATACCGACAGTCAACTTGGCACCGCTGAAGGGACTGTAGCACCGCCCAAATTTCGACGGAATCAAAGGCTTTCTCATAGTCCACATATGCCAGGCAAAGTGGCAGATTGATCCTCGGTCTTCTGTACAATCTGCCGCAGGGTATGTATGTGGTCTATGGTACTGAAGCCTTTTCGGAAACCGGCTTGTTCGGGAGGCTGGAAGTCGTCGAGTCTGCGTGCGAGACGATTCGTAATGACTCTCGAAAACAGCACGTAGACGCGGCTCAGAAGGGAAATCGGTCTGTAGTTCTTCAAGAGAGCGTTGTCGCCTTTTTTAAAGAACAAGACCACCGCGCTTCTGCTCCACGCCTCCGGAGTAGTGCCACCATCTAATGACCATGATTACCTCAAACTACATAAATATGGCTTCTGCGCTGAAGGTTGTGAGTTTTATTCTCACCAAGGCTAACATTTGTGTGATGAACATAGATGTTTGTTGTGTGTTTTGTGTTTGTATGTATTTACATTTTAATTTTAGAAAATTAGTTTAAAATTATCTCTAGTATGTAGCCATAGTATCTCAAACTAGACAATGCTAATTTAGATGATTCTAATATGAATAAAGATGTAACTATTGATAATCTTGTATTGCATGAAATATTTGCTAGAACTCTTATACATTGTTTTGAGCGATAATATATATATATATATATATATAAATAATTTTGGATTTCTGTGCAGTTTCGCCACAACGGTACACGGTTAACGCTTGCCATGTAAAGGGGATTACTCTTAAATGTTGCTAAACCTGGGACACTAATGAGGTGGGTTCTACTAACAACAAAGAGCCCTTTTCCTCTACAACTTATTCACATAACAGATATACCATATAGCTATTTGGAAAAAGTTTTCTGTAAGGTGGAGGCAACCAATTATTGTGTCTCAAGAACCATTCTCCAGCTTGGGTTGCTCACATTCAATCAGGAATCTCACTGTATCCTACCTGTTATCTTTTTAATACATATTTGAAATGTGCATGTTTGTTCATAAGCATCCACATTATTTCAACGTAAGTGTGATGTGAGTGAAAGTAAGGGTAGATACAAGAATAGGTTATATGCACCAGCAAATCGTCTAAAAGTTACAAAAAGAAATGCTTCTGCAATGTCGATTAGAATTTATAATAAATTACCTGATAATTTAAAGCGTAAAAGTTTATTGTCATTTAAGAAATCTGTTTTGGGATTGTTGCCTCCTAAATGTTATTATTCTGTAGAAGAATTCTTAAACGACAACGACCTACATACGAGTAATAATGAATGATAATTTTAGAATATGATTAATTACGTAATTACAAGGTTCTAATGTTTAAAATATAATGTTTTGACATTATTTAATATAAAATTTGACTTATGTATTTAATTAATTAATAAATTTGATGTAAAAATAGAAAGAAATTGATGACAATTGGATATATAACATTATATAATTATTGACGTAAGAATAATAATATATGACATTGACCTATAATAATAATCTTACTTGATATAATAATACTTACTTATATTTTTTCTGACACTGTGGCATAATAAATTAATTATCAAATCAAGTAAATAATATTAAATATTTTTATATTTTGTTAAATTAATATATGTTGTTAAATTCGATAAGTATTGTTGTTTAGGTTACTTGACCATTAATATTTGCACACCACTAAGGTAGAATATGTAGAACGAATTATAAACACCACTGTACAACCATATTCTTGCAAATAAAGATTATTATTATTATTTGTGTTTCTTTCATCCGTGAAAATGTTGGGCACAACTTATGTCTATCGAACTTGGTGTTTAATTTGTATTTCATCAATACTAATTTTATTTCTATGGCCATCTCATGAAATAAATTATTTACAGATGTTATCCATGAATGAAATTTGTGAATTTTGCTGGGACAAAGCTTGAGATTTGAGCATACAAGTACCAGGACCACAAGAAAGATCCCAGCATATTTTGTTGCTCAATATAAGAATTTTCGCTTTCATGCAATACATACACTAGAAGTATCCCGAGAGAGAATAGATGGTTTAGAGAGAATAAACCCAATCTTGCTTCATGCTAAAATTAAGTCCCGTCATTTTTCCACTAAAACTTTGTATTTATAGTTGCAGAAACAAACACGATTGGCGGGACGCAATCATAAGTTATTGCTGTAACTGCATTGTAGCTTTAAGAGCAGTGGGATGCCACTGACATGTTATGAGTATTATTTGGTACCTAAGCCATGCTTGCCATGAGGGTATTACCCGGCCTGCCCCCTACTTAGATGAAGTTTTATTAAAAACTTAAAAAACAAAATATATTTTATTTACATACACTCAAAAGCCCATCAGAATTTTATCTTTATCAAATGTTGCAGTCCGCTGCTGAATATAAGTATCTCTTATTTCACAACGCTGAGTAGATACCAATCCTCATCTCAATCTACCTACTTAATGGTAGAACCACGCTGTAGCTATAATATAGTTGTAGCGCGAATGACTGCTCGACCGGGGGAAGAACCACGCTCTCACAGAATACCAGTGTAAAATAGCAGTTTAATACTGCTGTGTTTCGTATGGTGAGTGTAGAGATCTGGAGATCCTTTTTTACTGGAAACGAGGCATTCGATCCTAGTCTTCAGAGGTGACAACGCATCTGAATTTTGATTCTAAATCGAGGATAAATGTAGATGTCCGTTCGATTGTCACCCTTGTTCTATAAAAAAATAACGATTAGTAAAGCACTACAGAGTAGCGAAAAGCAATACAGAATATTTACTTTATCACAAAAACAATTTTTATTTGCCTATATTAACATAGATACACTAGGAGAGGTTTTGGCCGTCGACGGATTGTTGGACAATTTGTTGCTCCTGTTTTGTTGCTTGAGTAATGGTTTGAAGTAGATTTTGATTCGTAAAAGTGATGCAATTTTGTGAACTGTCTGCGCGTGTAAACTATTAGAGAAAACGACGAAATAAGTGTTTTGATGTCGATATAATCTCCCAAAAACTGAGAAACAAAAAGTGACGCATCAGCATATTGTGATGAAAAAATATACATAAACGAACATTACGAAAGAAATGATAGGCTCAGAAGGTCTAGAACACAAAGCCGTGAAGCCAGTTAAATAAAAAATGTAACACTAGTTCATAATATTATATATTAGTCTACGGTCTATGTAGATAATCTTAAAAATTAAACTGGTTATAACTTTTATCTCCCAAGTTCTAAAAATCTAAGAATTTGAAAGGAGTTTTTTCTATCCTACTATCAACCAATTAAAACCAAAAATATCCCAAAACACGAAATTTTATTAGCGGTACGAAACTCCCATATAAGCCTGCCATTCCCCTTTGATGTATTTTCTTTTTCTGAAGAATATAAATACTTTTGAGGTAAGTGAATATATTATTTTCGCCAAGATATAATTATTTTTTTGCGAATGTATGTTTTACTTGAAGAAACTGGTGGTATTTTTGTGAGTATCAATTTGGATACTTCAGGCATTCCGCCTTCACCGGGCCGGAAGCAAGGCCTGCGTGCCACCCGCCAAGGCCAAGGCCACGGGGAGGGGAGGGCCCCCCGCCGCCACTAAAGCTGAATTGGAATGCCTATAACGGCCCCATTAAGCTTCCTCCAGGCGAATATCAACCACTGCGATTGTTTTGTTGCTCCAGAGCATGGCGCAATGGTCGATTAACATCGCTGTGGTCGCTGAGCCGTATTTTGTCTGGCCTAGGGAGGACTGGGTGGCGGACCTTAACGGCTCAGTGGCCATCATCTCTTCGGCCGCCGCCGGTACCCCGACCCTTGAAGGTGTCAGGAGGGTTCAGGGGTACGTAGCAGCACGGTTCGGGGAGTTCGTCGTTGTGGGGGTGTACTTCTCCCCGAACCGATCCCTCGCCGAGCTCCACAACTCTCTGGCAGAGCTGAGAGCAGTCGTCGTCGGAAGTTATCCCCTCCCCCGTACTTGTCCTCGGGGACTTCAATGCCAAGAACTTGGCTTGGGGTTCTCGTCGTACAGATGTGCGGGGTAGGATGGTGGAAGACTGGGCTCTGGAGACTGTCCTGGTCGTCCTAAATCGGGGTTCTGTCCCCGTGTGTGTGCGGATGCGGGGCGAGTCGGTGGTGGACATCTCGTTCGCTAGCCCCGCTCTGTCGCCGCGTGCCATTGACTGGCGTGTCAAGGAGGGGGTGGAGACCTACTCCGACCACCGGTACATCCGGTTTGACGTCTCCACCCAGCCCTCGAGCGCGCCAGTCCAACAGGCCCCGAGTGGTCCGCGTTGGGCGCTGAAGCAGCTGGACCGGGAGCTCCTCCTGGAAGCCTTGATCGTGCAGGCCTGGGTGTCATCCCCGGACAGGCCTGCCGACGTCAATGATGAGGCAGGGTGGTTCCAGGAGGCCATGTCCGAGATATGTGAGGTGGCAATGCCCCGTGTCCGGCCAGGAAGCGCCCGGCGTCAGGTGTATTGGTGGTCGCGTGAGCTGACTTCTCTGCGCGAGGCGTGTGTCGCCGCGCGACACCTGTACGCCAGGCATCGCAGGCTCCGCATTCGTCCATCGAACACGGCAGCCATTGAGGCTGAGCTGTACGAGGGATAGAGCGGCGAAGACCGCCCTCCGGAGGCTGTCCTGCGGGCCCGGGATCGGGCCCGTGAGGAGATGCTGGAGACTCTCGACAGAGATCCGTGGGGGCGCCCTCACGGATCTCTGTCGAGAGTAGGTTAGCCCGAGCGTAGTTTGCTACGCTGACGACACGCTGGTACTGGCACAAGGGGGGTCGTACGAAGCGGCGGCGGAAACTATGACACGCGGGATTGCGATAGTCGTTGAGAGGATTCGGCAACTGGGTCTCGAGGTGGCTCTGCACAAGTCCGAGGCCATGCACTTCCATGGTCCTCGGAACAGGCCACCACCGGGATCCTCAATGATGGTAGGAGGGGTATCCATCGGCGTCGAGTCGACGCTGAAGTATCTAGGACTCGTCCTCGACGGCCGATGGAACTTCGTTGAGCACTTCCGACGTTTGGATCCCAAACTGGAACGGACCGGGGCTGCCTTCAGGCGGCTCCTGCCGAACCTGGGGGGGCCAAACGCCTCCTGCCGGAGGCTCTACGCGGGGATCGTGCGATCCATGGCCCTTTACGGGGCCCCGGTGTGGGCGCGTGGTTTGGCGCGGCTTGCCGTCCACCACCTGAACGCGCCCCAAAGGGTGGTTGCCGTGAAAATGGTTCGCGGCTACCGCACGATATCCCGCGAGGCGGCGAGCCTCCTTGCCGGATTGCCGCCATGGGATCTGGAGGCGATAGTCCTCGCACGCCTGCACGAATGGCGCGCGGAGGCACTATGCCGGGGGGAAACCCCGCTGCCGCGGCAAGTTGTCGCGCAGCGGACAGACTTCCGGCACGATCTCATGGCGACATGGAGAGAGCGACTGTCGCAACCCCGCGCTGGGCACGCCACTATAGCGGCGATAAGACCCCTCTTTGAGGAGTGGCTTGAGAGACGCCACGGCATCCTCACCTTCCGCCTGACGCAGGTCCTCACCGGACACGGTGTGTTCGGGAGGTTCCTGCACCGAATCGGGCGGGAGGAAACGCCCGGGTGATCCCACTGCGAGGATGGACCGGAGGACACGGTGGAACACACCGTGGAGGTGTGCCCTGCTTGTGCGGAGCACCGCCGTGTCCTCGTAGCGGCGATAGGCGGCGGAAACCTCTCGCGTCCGGCCCTGGTCGAAGCCATGGTCCGGAGCGAGACGGAATGGGATGCCGTCACCACCTTCTGCGAAGCAGTGATGCTAGCGAAGGAAGTTGGCGGAGCGGGAGAAAGAGAGAGCAGCAGATTTCCTCCCCGGCCGCCGCGGGAGACGCCACGGGCGTCGGGGGCTACGTCGTGGCCCCCGGCCACCGTAGGCGCGGGCCTGTGCACGGCGAGCAATGGGTAGCTCGCCGTCCGTCCGTCTAACGACGACAGGCCGTGTCGACGCGCCACGTGCTCCATCGCGCCTCAAAGAGCTGTCAGCAGCGTGAAGGGGCCCGCAAGGGCCGACGCCTGCCGGGGCTGCGGGCTGTTCGAAAGAGATACCGCGGCTCCGGAACGTAAGGGCACTGAAGGAACACGGATGGATGGTTTTTAGTCAGTAAAAGTCTGACACTCCCTTACACTCCACCCAGAGCGAAAGGCGTCATTAGATGATTTTCCATCCGCAAAAAAAAAAGACATTCCGCCTTACATAACACCTACCTACTAGTTCTTTAGCTATAAAAACTTCTTGAACTTTCGTTTCATATTTTTCTGCATGGCTTGGTGTTGGGATTACTTTTTTTAATTTTATTTTAGAAATTTATCAAAAATATGACCAGAAGAGATTGAGTGCATATTGAAGCGGTTAGAAAATGGTGAAATTTCGGAAGACGATTCCACCGACAATGAAGATAACAAAGATCGTCTGATGGAGCTAGAAGATGAAGAGGATGTAGGTAATTTTCCCACTGACCCAGACTTGGATGCAGATCCGCCTGCAGCAAACGTAGATACCGACATGCAACATAATTTAGAGACTGTTGAGCGAAGCCCAACTCCAACAACCAGCAGCCAGAACAACCTGCACACTTCAAACCTAGCAACTTAGTGTGGAGAGTAAAGAATATGGACATAGTCCAAAACGCATTTCAGTTTGCAGGAAACACTGAGTATTCACAAGAAATTATGAACTTAGACACTCCTTTTCAGTTTTTTTCTTATTTTTTCGGTGAAGAAATTTTGAAATTTCTAGTGGACGAGTCAAATAAATATGCCTTCCAAAAGAATCCCAACTTTACAGAACCTGTAACTATCTTAGAATTACGTAAATTTATTGGAATTCTTATTTTTACTAGTGTATATCATTATCTAGTGTCAGGTCATACTGGTCAAACATTACAAAGTTTGAACCCATAGCTCAAACAATGAATCGCAATAGATTTGATAAAATTAGACAAATTTTTCACATGAATGACGACTCTAAACAATTGCCCATTGATCATCCCCAGCACGACCGACTGCATAAACTAAGACCAGTGATAGACTATTTGAACAAGAAATTTATTACTGTACCATTTGAGCATCGTCTATCACTAGAGGAGCAAATATGTTCCACGAAAATTAAACATTTTATGAAACAATATTTACCCAACAAGCCCCATAAGTGGGGATTCAAATTATACGTTTTATGCTCTCTGTCTGGGTATGCATACAGTTTTGAGATTTACTCAGGAGCTAAGAACATAGACCGTTTACCTAGCGAACCAGACCTCGGAGCTGTATCGAATACAGTTATTCGATTGTTACGACCAGTACCAAGGCACGTCAATCATATAACTTATTTGGACAATTTTATACGAATATTCCTCTGCTACATTACTTGAACAACGAAGGTATTTATTGTGTTGGAACAGTAAAGAGAAACAGGCTTGGAAAGTCGTGCAAGTTGCCGGAGAAATGGGAAATTATGAAGTCTAACGTACCCAGAGGAGCATATCACGAAAATGTGGTCTCTTACGAAGGCCAAGAATTGTCGGCCATAAGTTGGAAAGACAACAAACAAGTACTATTACTTTCCACGTATGTTGGCGCTGAACCAGCGGATACTATAACCCGCTACGAAAAAAAACTAAAGGCCAATGTTCAAATATCATGTCCTCGGGTCATAAACGAATATAATGCACACATGGACGGCGTTGATTTGATGGATAGCTTCATTGGTCGATATCGCATCCGCATAAAGTCGAGAAAGTGGACAACGAGGCTCTTCTACCACTTGTTAGACATGACTGTCATCAATGCTTGGGTACTATACAAAAAAGTAAACACAGTAAAAGGAAAAATTCAGAAGAATATTATGAAGTTAACAGATTTTAGAACTGAGCTTGCCGATACTTTATGCAAATCAAAGTCACTCGAAAAATAAAAGGGGAAGACCCAGTACCAACAGTCGACAAGATACTACAGTACCTTCTAAAAGACCCCGGACAGGTGTATAAGTACTACCCTATACTGACGTGTGTTGCGATTGTATTGGTCATGAAAAAATATTTATGGATTCTAATTCTCTTCTAGCCAAATTAATATTCTAAGACCGTTATGCTCCTCCTAACCAGGACTGCGATGGAGACCCTGTTGAGGGCCCGAGATGTGTGCATGGTCCGGAGGCCTGGCTAGAGGGCCTCAGACATAAGGGATGGACCTTAGCTACTATCATGAGTATTCTCTTGGCCGCGCACGGGTGTGATACCACTGCATCTTTGCTCGGGTGAGGGGATAGCCAAGTCATTGTCCTCCGCATTCACTCACCACACGAAACACAGCAACATTAAGCTGCTATTTCAAGCTGTTATTCTGTGAGACCATGCTCCTTCCCCGGTGGAGACAACCCATTTGTGCTACGACTATAAGGCGGTGGTCTCCTATAAACGCTATCGGCCGCTTACAGCGTCACGCCGTACGCCGCGTAACGATGCTTACTATAGAAATGTACTGTTGTGGTCTCTTTCACAAGCTGATGTCGGCGTATGGACGTCGTAGGCGGCGTTAAGACGCTTTGCGCTGCGTCTCTAGTTATTTCGAACCATTGCAGCGTGAAGGTCGTGTCTAGCGTCAGTACAAAATGACAAAATTTAATAAAGAAAAAGACGAGTTACTGTATTATTATTATGTTTAAATTGTTCCTGATTAATACGAAAATATTCAATAAATTTAGAATTGCTGTCTTTTAAGTGCTTTATTATCAATAGCTGGAAACATCCTTCTTCATATCTCTTCATAAATAATCGGTGCCTTGTTGCATTTATCATTCTTCGTATACGGTCGTCTTGTGCCTCTTCTTCAAGTAACACAAGCGCCCCCAAAAGTATTGAATTTATATCCATTTTATGTACAAATATGACACACAACCACACGTGAGCACTGTCGGCTACTTAATTGTTGCTCGATCGAAAGTCTAGACGTCGCGTCGTCCGTTTGTAAAATATGTATTGACCGCTGACGCTGTGCCTGGCGTTCAGACGCCGATCGGAACGTTTACGCTGAAGTCGGACGTCGCGTATAGCTTTTAATAGGAGACCGTAGCCTAATATAGCCACACCTCCACTATATTTGAATAGATCTAGTTTTTACCGATTTTATTGAATTAAAGTTAATATACCAATGAAATTCGTAAAAACTAGTTATATTGAAATGTGTAGCGTTTGCGAACATTAGGAAATCATAACATGATAAAGTTATGATATAGTACGTGAGGGTAATAAGGTCATCCGGTTAATATGGTCACTTTCTTATAACTCAAAAACTACATTAATTTTTTTTTGTATAGTAAATATTTTAGTCGATTTTAGTATGGCGTAATGTAGTTGGTTTTTATTAAGTTGATTTTGCAAGTGTTCCTAATTATTTCCAAAGCTTATTTGCTATTTTTTAATAATATATTGGTAATAATATATTGATGTAAACAACTTCGTTTTTGTACCTATCCTCCTCCTAGTTTTGGTTTTATAGGGCGGCAAAAATCAAAGTGACCATAATACCCTCATGTACCTTAATATGTGGTGATGGTGTAAGACAATCCACTACTATATTGTCTCATGGGTGTCTTTTGAGGTGAAACTGTAGACGGGCAATAGTATCTGCCTTAAAACAACTTAATTTCAAAACGATAACCGGTTATTTAAAAGTAGTCACAACATGCTATCAATTTACATTTTGGTACTATTTATCTAAGGAATTCTCATTTCAAATAATTTGATGTTGTATGAGTGCATGCGCGCGCACGTGTGCACGTGTTTGTGTGTTTAACATTAATTATTAATAATTTAGTACACAATCTGTGCTTTAACAATGTTTGAAGTACTTACATAAATTCTTATAAAACTGACATATGGAATCAAAATTAACATCAACGACATCACTACATTCATTACAGAACATTGACATTTTCTAGGAAGCCCTCATCGCTCTGGTCCCCGACACTAGATGGCGCTAATGCCAGGTACCCGACGTCAACTTAGGCGCGCAACACTGCCTCCTCCTAAGACATGCTCGTCCGAGCATTATCGGCCCCATAATAGCGCGCCAGGCGACCCACATGGACGATTTTGGGAGTCCCTCTTGCGCCTTTCTGACACGGCTCCGCAATGTCAAGGGCTGTCCTCTCCCATGGTGCACCAGCATTGTACAATGTCGATGCTCCTCTACTACGAATCTGAGGTCCCTTCACAGCCGCACAACTTGTACATGTGCGACACCAATCCTCGACATCGTCACGATAATGGACCCAGTAAAACTGTTCGTAAATGTCACAGCTAAATGAAACGATAATTTCATAAAAATATCATGAAAATACCTAAATATAAAACCAGCAGTGTAAATAACTTAAATCTAAATGACAAGGATCATTGAACGCGGACATGAGTAGATAAACGAAATTATCTACTCATGCGCCGCCCGCGATCGTACTAATAACTAATAATTTACAACACTTGTCTAAACACCAAACTTATATACTTAACTTACTATTTTGCTACTGTGCTAGTCTTCATCCATCCACTTTAATTCGAATTCACAAGTTAAATAAACTAAATAGCTGGTTCGATTCCCCGCTAATGTAAAATTTACTTAAATTATCCATCGTGTATGTATGTTTATTATTCTGATGTATTCAGTTATGTACCTATCCAGATCAGTTCAGTACTAAGTTATTTAAAAAAATTAGGTATGAAACAGCTTACCGATCTAAATCCTTAAATAAATCTGCCCATACGTTACAGTTAGGTTTGGTATTACTTCGGTTCCACAGGCCTTTTCTGGAATATTTCGACTCGTCCCTCCAGATGACGTGCTCAATGAAACCAAGCACACGGTGTTGTTGGTCTAATAACCAATAGCAGAAAACTTGCCGACAATAGTGATCGCAAGGAACTAATGCTTGCACTTTGTATGGGCGCATTCGTTTACGCTTTAACACCTTGTGAACTGTCTAGTATGACACACTTATTCCATCCCGACGCTTTAACAAATTAGCTCTACTTTATAAAATTGTAAATTCATAATGCACGCGAAGCATTCCCGTGAGCTTTTCCAACGCACATTAACACGTATATGTATGTCATGAACAACGTATATGTACGTCATAAATTGGTAGATATGACATGCCACAACGTGTTAATACGTTCAGCAATAACTCGATTTATTGAGCTCAACGTAATGGTACGGTGTCTGGCAATACCAATATTTTAAAGTTAGTTTACTGTGCCACAACATATCGAATTCTCAAAATTATCGTGCTACACCGCACCGATTTTTTGGCCCTTTTTGATGGTATTCCGCCCTGGAACTAAGTACCTATTTTGTTAGTGCACAACGTTACTATACGTCGTTTCGCATATGAAGTTTCTTTGCATCAGTCGACTTTTGCGCTTCAAGGGGTAGTGCGTGCGAAGATTTTATGTTGCCATGGAATATTGACGCAAAAAGTAAGTATTTTGATTATCTTGCAACGTTACATATAAATGTATTTTAGTTTATTATGTCTGAATGTGTTCAAAATACATATATTGTATGTTTTTGTTCGTTTTAGACATGTAAAATGAGCCAAAAAAG